GAAATAAATCTACTTTTTCATGATATTCTAATTTTATGACCAGCACCTGTATATTATACAGTATATATAGATGTAGTTTGCTTTTATTTGTTTTTGCACTTGCTGGTATTGTGCCTGATGGTGTCCTTATAACTGATTAGGGAGGGGGTTGTTATAGTTTGCTTCAGAGTAGGTACATTCTTAGTTTAATAAGGCCTCTTGAGTGATGCATAAGTAAATGATTGGTCCATACATTTACAAACACTGACTGGCCAAGCAAACTGTTTGCTCCTTCTGCACCCACACCATAAAAGTGACATTTGCATGAGTAACACAACTATTGTTGTTGTGTTTTGATGTACTCTTCTTTAAAAGTGTGCAGTAGAAAAGAGACTGGTCTGTTGTGTGAGTCTTGGCTTCTCTAACGTCTTTTGAATGTTTGCAGGGCTCTTTCTAAAGCCAATTTTAAAAGACCCACAACATACAGCTCCAACTATGTGTCCAGAATTGTTGTTGTTATTATTGATAAGGAATATAACATGCAAAATTAACATAGATGAATAATCACAATATCGCCTTGGCATCGCAAAAACAAACGCACAGATTCATCAAGTGTTCTAAAGTTGGATTTTAAATCCATGTTGGTTGGTTGGTTGGTTGGATGGATGGATGGATGGATGGATGGATAGCATATATTAACACTAACCATCATTCTTCACTTGTTTCATATTTTGCCTACAGGTTGTAGGATAAGCAAAAAAAATGGAAGATGTTGACAGGTGGAAGAGAATGGGATAAATGAAATAAAATAAGATGGAGAGGAGTGTAGAATGGTGGCGGTGAAGGCGGATTAACAGCTAATTAGAGTAAGAAACTGAATAAAACAAATGACTCAATAGTACAAAAGACATTTAATCCAGCCAACACGCATATAACTTTAAAAAAGATATACAGCAAAATGGGATGAAGGCATAAATTAAAGACAGAAAAATATTCAGTGTTTTTTTTTTTTGGTTATGGGAATTTTCTAGAGGAATAAAATTTAAAAAATCACACACACACACACACACATCCTTATACTTGCATCAAACTGAGGACATTGTATTGACTTTCATTCATAATTGTAGCTGTTTTTATGCCTAACCCAGATATTTTCCCTAAAATTAACCATTGTTAGTATATTTCTAACTCTAACCGGAACCAAAACTTAATTCACACCATACCTCTAAACCTAAATAGTAAAGCAATATACTCACTTTACATCAAAGACCTCACTTTGATAGTAACTATGGCACAAATGGTCCTCACTCTGTAGTAGAAACAAGTACACACACACACACAGTTGAAATTTAAATCTCAGCTGATAAATCACTGACAACATATAACTTGGATGCTGTATTTGCATTTTACAGCCACAGGGAGTCAGAAAAGCATCACCGATGGAGTTCAGCTGAGCTTCAGCAAACTTGGGTCCTCTCCTTCCTCTCCTGTGTTCACCATAAAAGGTCATCATGATGAGACGTGCTGCTGCCTTTGGCACAGAGCAGGCATTAAACCCACTGAAGCCTGGTGAGCAGTCAGGTTCAGATATGGTTATAGAGAGCTGGAGAGGTTGTGTAAGTGCTGATAGAAAGTTACTGCCTGAGGACAGAATGTTGGTGCAATTCAAAAAACAAAACCACAAGAAAGCTGGTTACTAACAAAAGCACTTTGTTTTCAAGGTC